TAGTAGGTAGTAGGTAGTAGGTAGTAGGTAGTAGGTAGTAGGTAGTAAGTAGTAGTAGTAGTATCAGTAGTATCAGTAGTAGTAGTAGTAGTTGTTGTTGTTGTTGTAGTGGTAGTATTGGTGGTAGTAGTAGTAGTAGTGGTAGTAGTAGTAGTAGTACTAGCGCTAGTACGAGTCGTGCTAGTAGTAGTCGTCGTCGTAGCAGTATAGTGTACGTAGTAGTAGCAGTAGTAGAGCAGTAGTAGAGTAGTAGTAGTAGTCGTCGTCGTCGTCGTAGTCGTAGTCGTAGTAGCAGTAGGAGTAGTAGCAGTAGGAGTAGTGGTAGTGGTAGTGGTAGTGGTAGTGGTAGTGGTAGTGGCAGTGGTGGTGGTAGTAGTAGAGTAGTAGTAGTAGTAGCAGTAGTAGTAGCGGTGGTGGCAGCAGCAGAAGCAGAAGCAGAAGCAGTCGTAGTAGTAGTAGTAGAAGTAGTAGTAGTAGTACTTGTAGTAGTAGTAGTAGTAGTAGTAGTAGTACTTGTAGTAGTAGTAGTAGTCGTCGTCGTCGTCGTCGTCGTCGTAGTGGTAGTGGTAGTGGTAGTGGTAGTGGTAGTGGTAGTGGTAGTGGTAGTGGTAGTGGTAGTGGTAGTGGTGGTGGTGGTAGTGGTGGTGGTGGTAGTAGTAGTAGTCGTCGTAGTAGTAGTAGTAGTACTAGTAGTAGCAGTAGTAGTAGTAGTAAGTTGTTCTGCTCCTGCTACTGCTACCGTTACTGCTTCTGCTACTACTACCACTACTACGACTACTACTACTACTACTACTACTACTACTACTACTACTACTACTACGACTAGTACTACTAGTACTACTGCTACTACTACTACTACGACTGCTGCTACTACTACAAATACGACTAGGACTACTACTACTACCACTACCACTACCACTACTACTGCTACTACTTCTTCTACTACTACTACTGCCACAACTGCCACTACTACGACAACGACTACTACTACAACTTACTATTACTACTGCTGCTGCTGCTACCACTGGTACTACTACAACTTACTACTACCACTACTACTACTACTACTACTACTACTACTACTACCACTACCACTACTACTACTACTACTACTACTACTACCACGACTACTACTACCACTACCACTACCACTACCACTACGACTACTACTACTACTACTACCACTACGACTACTACTACTACTACCACTACCACTACCACTACCACTACCACTACTACTACTACTACTCCTACTACTACTACTACTACTACCACCACCGCTACTACTACTGCTACTACTACTGCTGCTACTACTACTACCGGGAAGAGCAGGAAGAGCGAAGCGAGCGTTCATGGCCACTCTGATTGAAAAAATGTCCGAAATCAGGCACTGAAACCACTGACAAACAAACGACTCCGTTACCATCATCTTGCTAACACTTGGACTTGCACAACTGGAGCAATAACATGTGGGCTTCAAACACTGCAGCATCACCGCTCGCTTGAAGCTGCACAAGTTAACATCAAGTGGAATAGCCCTTGTTCGTAGAGGCAACGCAGGACCGTCAAGACTCACTTTGCACTTCTACACTAGTTGTGTCCAGAAAGGGGCTTATGTTGAGACGCTACAGATCCTAAGGCCCTCGCGCTGGATGCGTTCTTTGACGCGGCCACACTCAAGAAGTCCAAGCAAACCTGTGAACCTGGGAAGCTGTCTGCATACAGGAAGTACTGGATCATCGCGCCTGCAAGTAGGGACCTACAACCATTTCAAAAAAGAAATCCAGAATGAAGGGGGCGATGGGTCACCTGCAGGCGACCTCCTTCCAGGGATGCTGGTCCCCTGTAGCCTGAGCACCCCACTCTGAAATGCGGCCATTCGTGGCGTTGGCGAGCACTTGCACCAGTCTGGATCTGGGGCCTTCGATGTCCTCCAAACTGCAAGAATACGTGCACAAATATTCCAAAATGGAAATTCTGCTGTTGTTGTTGTCCCTTCCCTGGCCTCAAACCCAGTGGCCACATGAATTCTTCCCAGAACCCTGGAACCTTGCCAGAAGTATGTGTATACTAACATACATACATACATACATACATACATACATACTTACTAACATGACACAACATGACATGACATGACATATCATGACATATCACGACATAACATGACATAGGATAACAAAGAAAACATAATATACATAACATGCAAAGCATACATACCACACATACAAACATACATACATACATACTGACTTACATACTTACATACTTGCATGCGCATACACATTTACACAAACATATACATGCACAAATACCGTATAAGTAGTTGACTTCTCCAGCTGGAGCGTGTCTCACCCGCCAACCAAAAATGGGGACGGAATAACGTACCTGCATCTTGTTGTGAAGGTTGCAACTATCGTCTAATCGCATCGTAGAGGTGAAAGGCTGTTTAGGTGTCCCGGCGGTCCCGGTCTGTAGTCTCTTGTTTTCACGATTTAAAGCTCATCCGCGCACAGTATCAAATCTTTCTTTCTGTCAACCTGGCAACGGTCTTCACAGAAAACTTTGCACCGATGTCCGCAATTCAACCAAATCCTTACATCCAACGTTTTACTCAGGCCCTTTTTTCACTTAGGCCTTTGGGCTGGTGGCGCGTTCAACAACTTCGAGGGGCCGGGCTGCACACCAGCCTACTTGACTCCGCTCACACCCTGCCATCCAACCCCTCATCCACCCCAGCAAGCTTTTTCGTTGAACCAGTTGATGATCTTCATCTTCTGGGATTCAACATCGACCTTGATTGATGAAAAATCCGTGACCATGCCTCGGCCGGCAGCTTGCGCCTACGACTCTCCGGTTTGGCCTCCCGCGTCCACACCATTCGACATCACACGTTTCCACCTTCAGCGGCCGATGAAGCTGTGAGCAAGCTAGTCAACCTCTACGTTCAGAAGGGGCGCCCACCGAGCCATTGCAAGCATTTTTTGCACGGACAAAAAGCGCAGCTGCCTTCCACCAAAGCGCCGATGACCGGCCTGTTGCGTGTGCCACGCCCTGCTTCCAAGGGCTTCCTTCATTTCACTCGATGCAGCAGGGCCAGCGCATGGCATCACGACGCTGGCCAACGAAGCTAGCGATGTCATGGGAAGCAGTCGGAGACGTCTGACTGTGCACCTGCGAAATCCTCATATTTTAAAAAAATGTTTTCGGCCTCTCCCTAAATGCATAATACCCCAGCATCTTCAAAAGAACTTTCCACAAATGGTTATTTGCCCGGGGCAAGCCCAGAATCTCCAGAATGTCAGAATTACACATCAAAAGTTGCTCCTTGCCAAACTCTTTGATGCTCTGCATCTTCTTGAAGAGCGCCTCGTTGGATGTGGTGATCATTCCTGCCTCGCCGGCAGTCATCACCTGGCATCTCTCAAAGCGTAGTTTGCTCAGGGAGAGCTGGTCACCTAAGTGTGTCACCTTTCCTTCTCTCAGTTCTTGGCCGAGGTTCTCCCAATTCGAATGCCAAGCGTGACCAATCAAGAGTATGTAGGTAGCAAACCCAAATGCGATCGCGCTGGCCAATAACTGTATGACTATGCACGCATATTATGGGAAAGCAGCAAACACAATCGCCATGAAGTAGCAACTTGCCTGCAAGCGACTTGGAAATACAAAGGGCGAATTCGTGCCCCCTTAGCCTCCTAAAAAAAAACCTGCAACCTGCCACACCGAGCACTGACCCGCCTTGGTCGGAAAAAAGGAGAAGGCGGCCACTTCACCAATGGCGCCTGACATCCAGATCGGAGTTCACTCCTTGCGTATCTTCTCACACAGATCCCACAAGTCACACCGGCGTTTGGCCAGGCCTGTTTGGGCCCATGAGTTTGCGCGCTTCTTTCGTTGTCTTGTTCGATGCGTTGCTGGAAGTGGGTAAACACGAGGAATTCAACTTCGTTCCGAAGATATGCGCCGCAGGGTTTCTCCTCTCGAGATGGCAGATCGGGGCCGTGCACGCAGCACTTCGTCGCTCAAACGCAAGCCCGCGGAAGACCTGTCATTCGTGAAAACAGAGCAGTTCTGGGCCCCTCGCATTTCCTTGCGACCCCCTCTTGGCATTGCCGGTTGAAGCTTTGCGTGATGCACCGGACGCCGAAGCCTTGCTCGATTGCTCGGCGTAAGCCTTTTGAACCTGGTAGTCTGATAGGCTGATTGCTCTTAATGAAGGCTCTGTTCCATATGCATCGGCCACTGCTTCCTTCCCAAGAGTCACGGGAAGCTTTGAAGAAAAGGATCATGAATGTTGAATAATCCACCTTAACAAAAGAAAACTGGGACACGCTGAGTTAATTTTGCGCTCGCTGTTTCTAGCTGGCGTTCACTGATTTGATTTCCACCAGCCAGAAATAGCGAAAGCATGGCCGTGTGTTCAAAGAGTCTGCTGCTACCTTGCCAATTGCTAGATCCTTTGCTTCCATTGCAAGAAAGCTGCTGTCTTTGATTTGCTGGATGCGTGCGTGCTTGGCTTGGCCGCGATTTCCAATATGTTGGCATTGCTCGCTTGTCTAGCCATCACCTTTCCGGTTTGGTGTGTCGTTTGTTGGAGAACTCACATTGCGTTCTAGACCTGGGAGCGCCAATGGTAGAAAGGAAGACATATGAAAGCGATGACCTTCGATAAGTCTTTCGCGGAAAAAATACTTTCGTGAACCTCATCGCGAATCTGTCGCGGATGGTTCTAACGACATCTGACAAGCTCCTTACACGGGGTTTTCGATCCTGGCCCCAAAAAGGGGGGTCGGCGGCACCAGGGCGTTAGCCCTATTATTATGTTTTTTGGGTGGCTTTTGGCTGTTGTCTTAAAAACGTGAAAGGGATAAGAAAAGGGAAAAGCCAAAGGAAAAAGGAAAAGGAAAGGGAAAAGGAAAAGAAAATGGAAAAGGAAGGGGAAAAAGGACAGGGAAAAGACAAAGGAAAGGGAAAAGGAAACGGAAAAGCAAAAGGAAAAAAAAGGAAACGCCGCACAAAATTTGTGCAGATAAGCTGTTCTGAGTTTCGCTTTTGATTGTATTTCCAACATTTTTGAGAAATGACACACTGAGAACTCGCTTGAGGTTTTGCGGTAACTGCCGCACATAAGTTGTTTAAATTTTGACACGCGCTGGCGTTGACTTTATTTGGGAATCATTGCGCTCGAGATTGGTGTTTTGAGTTTCCTGTCAAAACTTCATTTGGGAACATGATACGCCTGCATGTCCAGAAAATTGGAAGCTTCGGGGGCAGGTGTTCTTGAACTTTTTGCTGGTTGGCAACACGAAAGTTCACAATTCGTTGTGTTCTTGGGAAAATGCCAGCTTGAGTTTCTGACTCACTGCGACCAACTTGGAAGATCAGCTTGCGGATTTTTTGATATCGGAGAACATGAAAGTCAAGACACACTATTGTATTTGCTTTTGGCCGGTGTTGGTGGGTTTGCCGGTTTGCTGCTACCAACACACACTTATAGAATTGCGTGCGGATTTCATTGCTGTTTGCCTCACGCCGGCCTGAGTTAAAAAACCTGAGATCCCAGGAGAACAGGTAGTAAGTTAAAGGCCACCGCTTTTAGGTTGGAGGGCTTCACAGAGAAGTTGGACGCCAACACCTAAGGTTGGAGGCCGTCACTAGTAGGTGGTAGGTAGTATGCACAAGCAAAACAAAAGTGACAAGTAGTAGGTTAAAGGCCATCGCTTTTAGGTTGGAGGTCATCGCAAGGACGTTGGAGGTCAACGCCTAAGGTTGGCGGTATAGGTGGTAGGTAGTGTGCACAAGCAAACGAAAGAAACAGCGAGCAGCGAGGTTGGAGACACACACACATTTAGGAAACGCGTACTGAACAACCGGTTTCAGAACTCTGCAGGTACGCAGTTGGACGTCTCCAACTGTATCACAGGTATAACTGACGGAGCGTCTTTGTTAGCACCGGTCTCACCGCACCCCCGGTGCCCCTGCTACATGAAAGGCTCCGAAGCAAATTACAAAATCAAAGGTTTTCCTGTGACTCCAAGGGCTTCTTTCACACACGCGCCCCGTGCAAGGGGGTCCCCAAAGGTTAAGGGCCAAATGATGTGCATGCACGCACGCAAAAAGGACAAGAAAATGAAGACATGAAAAGGGGACACGACAGGACAAAGCTGTGTGTGGTTGCGATGAAGGGAAAATCAAATGACCAGGGACAAACAGTAAGCCCCACCTCATTGTCAAGACCTGGACGACCTGAAACCTGGGTAAAATGTGGATGTGCGCGTGCATGCTAAAAGCCGGACCAAAGTGCAAGGTGCACGCAAACGAAAGAACGGAATGAGATGACGGGACATGAAGACAGAGAAGACATGAAGCGAAAGAAGGAAAGAAAGTGTGTGTGTGTGAAGGGGAAAGGATCAAAGGGGAACAAAATGGAGGGGCCGGAAACCGATGAAGCCAAACCTCATTACAGCGGACCTACAGTAGCACTTAAGGCTGCCGACACGTTCCGGCGTGCCCCAGGGCTGCTTACTCGATCGAATGCAATAATTTGTCAAGTCTTTGCAAATAACTTTGGCGCAAGCCTACTACTCCGTCCGCTTCGGACTGCTCTATTTCCGGGCAGTGGAAACATTAGAAAACCCCC